CATTAAAACATGCTCTGGCAATGAGCACAGCGCTGACCTTGGCAGCGATGGTGAGAGCAGAGGTGGGAGCCAGCAAGGCCCCCAGGGAGTGATGTGACCTTGGAGCAGCAATGGCCCTCACAACCTGTAACCCTCCCCCCCACACCCGACCTGCGGCAGGCTGCTCACTCCACTTAATGCAGCCAAGCCAGGAACACAGCGAAGGTGCCAAGGGCCCAGGGACCTTAGCCGGGCTGAGCCCCACAGCCATAGGGCTCGGGGTGGAGGTGCCTCTGCAGAGCAGGCCCCTCTGCCTGTTTGTAGCTAGTCTGTGCAGGCCGGAGTCTAGCTCACTGCCGAAGTAGAAACTGGCTCCAGTGCATGCAGAAAAGGGTGCGGAGCCCAGTAACAGGGGGTGGGGGAGGGCTCAGGCTGGGCGTAATGGGGTCTTGTGTTTGATGATGTACAGCATGAGGGCAACAACTTTCCTCCATCGGTCCCTGGTGCCTGCTGCCCCAGCCCTGATCCTCAAAGGGGACCATGCTCTGGCCACCATGCGTCCGAGCTGGGAGTCCATCTGAGTGCGGCTCCTTCAGTTCCCGCCTAAGGGGTATTGGAAGCCAAAGTCACCTCCCTGCCATGCCCAAACGGGCTCCCAGCTCCTGCCAGTCTGGAGAACAAGGGGCCAAGTACCAGGTTACTCATCCACCAGGCCCAACACTTACACCTTTAACAGCACGCATGATGCCGGCCTTCCAGTTCTTTGGGAAAGCTGATGGTGCCCCGCAGCCGGCCTGCAGGGAGTGTAACGCTGCAGCTGGGCTTTAAAAGAGGTTGAATAATTTTATGAGGTAAACGATTAGTAGTTGAGGGTAATTAGTTGTCAGGCTTCAGGGTGCAAGCTGGTTCCCTGCAGGGGTCAGGAAGGAGTAGTTCCTCCACACAGACAGGATTGCACAGTTAGCCTGGTGCACTGCCCTCCCTGTGCAGCATCAAGCGCGGGCTGCTGCTGGAGCCAGGATGTGGCGCTCGATGGGCTGAACTAGAGGGGAACCCAAGCGGTGGGGTTGGATTCTGGTTTTGAACTTCTCTGAAGTTCCAGAGCTGTTGGATCCAGTGTCCTGGTCCAGGCTTATCTGCTGGAGTGAATCTGACGCACCCAAGGGGTCCCCCTTGCTCCCTCCCCCGCTCCATTGCTCTGCTGCTTTTGTCCTTGCTGCCTAGTGCGAAGAGTAACCCCCGTCCTCCTCTCTGTTCTAGTGGCCATGGAAACAGCGCTGATCTTTCTGTGCTCTCTGCTGGTGCCTGTGGTCGTGGCGGACGGTAGGTATCAAGCCTCGCACACCTTGCGCTCTGAAGGGGGAAGGGGTACAGCCAATGGGCCTGTGGGACCCAGGCAGATAAAGCAGAGTTGTGTATCCAGATCGGGGTGCGGGCCTGCGTACCCCCTGGGCTTGGAGCTGGCACAACTGATGGGTGGAGGAAGCATCAGGACTTTTAAATAGCCTTTTCTTGCTGGGAAAATATAACTCACAGCAAACAAACATCAGGGGAGCTGCTAGGGGAGGGCACTGGTCCAGCTTCGGGGACATCTGCTTGGCTAGCCCTACACAGTCTGATTGGGAACATGGGGCCATAAGCTCGGGTAACTCAGGCTCTGAGAAAAGCACCTAACAAGAGGCCATGAGAACCTGTCTGTATCCACCCTGCTTCACCCTACAGCTTCCTCCACCTTCTGCCTGCACCCACTCACGCTGCCTTGCATGTGAGCAATTGGCCTCAGGGCGTCTGACTGTGGCCACATCTGCACTGGGAGCTTGGGGTGTACTTCCCCAGCTCGCTCGCAGCAGCTCGATGAGAACTAGCACCAATATAGAGTCGTGTGACTGTCCCCATGGGAGCATGGGCAGTGGCAAGCCACACGGGGTACAAACACTCCTGAAAATGGTGAGTATCCACTTGGCACAGCTAAGCCAAGCCGCCACCTCTCTGCCCCCCTTTCTTGCCAAAGAAGGACTGCTTGATAGGGGATGGCCCATTCGCTTTGTTGACACCTGGCTGCGGTGTCCAATTTCCCTTTGTCTTTGAGAAACTGGTTTAGCCCCTCCCCAGACTTATCTGGGAAACACGCTTCAGTCATGGCTTTAGCTTATGTTCATGGCTTCACACATGACATTGCTCCATACATTTTGCCATGATATTACCGATCAGCAAGTTATGCATTTTCAAATGATCCCTCAGAAGGCATGCCTTGTACACCGATTATTACAGTGTGTCTAGGGTGTGAATACAGGGGTGCATTCTGTCACACCTCCCCCCAGAGAAAGCTACAGCAGGGGAGCCACTGGCTGACCTAGAGGCAACAGGTCGGGGCCCTCTCTCCTGGACAGGGCATCTGCCACCATGTTTTCTTTTCCCTTGATATGCACAATTTCCATATCAAATTCACATAGTGTAAGACTCCAACGCAGAAGCTTGGAGTTTGAGGCTTTAGTTTTGTGCAGCCAGATGAATGGAGAATGATCTGTTAATACCCTGAACTTTCTTTGACAAGATAGGGCTGTAACTGCTTTACTGCCCACACAATGGCATAACATTCTTTCTCTATGACAGAATAATTTTGTGCAGTGGGTGTCAATTTCTTGCTTAAGAAAGCAATGGGGTGTTTTTCGTTCTTCCCAGACTGCCTTAATACAGCCCCTAAACCAGTGTCTGATGCATCTGTGCACAGTTCAAACATGTTGTCAAAATCTGGGCTAGCTAAAACAGGCTTTTCAGACAAGATTTTCTTCACCTTATCAAACTACTCTTGACATGCCTTTGTGCATACAGCTTCATTAGGCTTTGTCTTTTCACGTGGATTTGTCATTGCAGACATGAGGTCACTGAACCCACACACAAACCCTCTGTCACAGCTTATAACACCAGATCTATGAAAGATTGGACCTGCTTCTTCGTTTGAGGCACAGGCCCATTCACTATGGCTTCAACTTTGAAGGGATCTGGGGATATTTGATCTCCCCTACCCAGTGTCCCAAATAAGGAATTCCGGCTGGTCAAGTTTTACACCTAGAGGCTTCTGCAGTTAGGTGTGTTTTGTGATCAGCCCAAGTGTTGCTAAACACTGCTGTACCATCAACACAGGCTCTTGCAAAGTCCTGCAAACTGTTTAACACTTGGTTGACCAGCCTCTGAAAGGTGGCTCCTGCATTAAGTAACCCAAATGCTAATGTTGTGAATCCATAGAGACCCATATCAGTGATGAAAGCAGATTTTTTTCTGTGCATCCTCATCTAAAGGAATCTGCCAGTTTCTGTTAACCAAATCAAAAGAGCTGAGATATTTAGCTTTGCTTAAGATACCCAGCATATCCTCAGTTCTAGGCATAGGATAAGCACCTGGTATTGTGACAGCACTGAGTGTTCTGTAATCAGCGCAAAACCTTACAGTGTTGTCTTTCGTAGGGCCCAAGACCACAGGTGATGCCAAGAACTGTCAGACTCTTTAATTACTCCCAGGTATAACATACTCTGTGTTTCTGCTCTTGCACCTTGCCACGGGCCCTGCAGGGTCTGCTTTGGTCCTTCTGTGACGATTTTGTGGGTGAGCAAGTGTGCCTTCCCTGGCTTGCTAGAAAACACTTCTTTGTGCTTTTGCAACACAGACAACACCTCTGCCTTTTCAGCTGGTGTTAACGCATTGCAGATATCATTGCTTTCCAGAGACCAAGTCAGTTTGGCATTCAGCCATCAAATCAATGAGGTGGTGTGTGCCTCAGTTTCCCCTTCTGCACAGCAGATCATGTTTACCATGGCTTCCCATCTGGGATAGGCTGTAAGTCTGTTTACATGCACCAGCTGTGGGACAGAATTCCCATGAGGCTTTTTCCCATGGTCTGTATCTTCATTCACTTCTGTCACCTCAAAAGGTCCTGCCCAATTTTTTTGCATTTTGTATTTTTTTGCTGGGCTTAGGACTAACACCCAGTCTCCTATTTCAAAAGAGTGTTTCCAAGTATGTTTATCATACCCTGCCGTTTGTTTGGCCTGACCATCAGTGAGGTTAGACCCATCGTGTCTTTTAACTCTTTTTCTGAATCTTTGCACGTATTCAGCTACTGGCTCTCCTTCTGCCTCCATGTCCCCTTCCCAGGCATCTGTGATGAGATCTAGGGGTCCCCTCACATTCCTTCTCTATAGGTGATCAAAAGAGGAGAACCCAGTTGATTCTTGGGGTACCTCCCTGTAAGCAAACAGCAAATATAGTAGCAACTCATCCCAATCTTGGACCCTCTTATTCGCATACATTCCCAGCCTAGATTTTAGGGTCCCGCCTGGACACATGCAGACAAGTCTCTCGCCTTACACTTAGCTTGTAGCTCTCCAGGGCAGGGACCAAATCCTTGTGTGTTTGTCCAGCACCCTGCACAATGGGGCCCTAATCCCTGATGGAGAGTTCTCAGCAGTACAATAACACAAGTAGTAATTCAATGCAAGTTAAGCCTCGCATGCCCAGAGGGATTTGGCACAGTGCTTGTAATCACAATGCTCATATTCACAAACTTTTTGTCTGTTTTGTTTCCAGCAGCCAATCAAGAGAAGGAAAAAGATCCTTTCAACTATGGTGAGCATCAGAGTCCTTAGTGGTATGCATATGGATGAGTGTGCACAGTATATACCCTAGTAGTGCTAAAAGAAGTGTGTGTGTGTGTGTGTGTGTGTGCACGACTTGACCACGTTTGTCTGAACACTGCAGCCCACTTGGAAATGAAAACTTCCCTTGCCTTTTCCCCCCTAGATTACCAGAGTTTGAGGATCGGCGGTTTGGTGTTCGCCGTGGTCTTGTTTTCTGTTGGAATTCTCCTTATACTCAGTAAGTTGGCGAGGGCTGAGTCAGCGGCCCAGTGAGATAGCATAAAGAACCTCATGGCTACGAACTGGCTGCCCAGGGACGTACCTAGGATCTCAGGACTGTGCTCCAGTGGCTAGTCTATGCCACAGCCCGTGCTGCAGCAGCTACACTGCTGCTTTCCATCTCTCCGAGCTGGAAATAGCCCTGCCAGCTGCAGTGTAGACGGACCTTAGTGTAAATGGGAAAATCAACACTCTTTGAGGGCCCCGTTTCTGCTGAAGGGCCCTTGTACCCCTCTCAAAGCACTGCCGGGGCTACACTCTTCCCCTATCCCCCCACTCCCTTCCCCAGTGGGATTCTGCACACTCAGACGCCTCAACGTTTATTTTGAGTGCTATTTCAGACAGCGCAGGAGGTGACTTTCTAACCTGTGGCGTGGCTGTGTCCGTTCCCTCACGCGAAAGAGCTCTGCGGCGTCCCCCTGCCCTGTCATTCATCGCTGCGTGAAATGCTGTAAGGCTGCTGGGAATCCTGCAGATCCATAGCGTCCCTGTAAACGCAGCTCTGCGAACCATGGACCCACTGCCAGGGGACTCGGACGCTCCGGGGTAGTGAAGTTCTTGGGGAAGCACCGCTGGTGCTCTGGGGGTGAATGGCTACAACCTATTCCAAAGGGAGGGTTTCTCTCATACGCTCACGATATTTTCTTACTCTTCCAGGCCGGAGGTGCAGATGCAGCTTCAACCAAAAGCCCAGGTACGCGTGCGAGTGGTGGTTAGCTGGTAGACGCTTTCTGCCTGGAATTGGAACCCTCTTTAGACTCCTGACCCATAAATAAATCCGTAGATACATAGCAGCTGGGAGAACGTTCCTGCTAAATGAGGATCCCCACTCTGTGCTGCTTCCACAGCCAGAGCACAGAGCGTGCCACGAGGTTCCTTGAGTAGCAAGGGCAGGATGTCTGCTTGGGGAGGTTACCCCAGTGGGTGCACTTCCCAAGGGCCAGGACTCAGGATATTAGCCAAGCAGGAGAGTCCTAGTGCAGTCACCAGCCTCGTCTGCCTGGGGGACACTTTTCCTTGCATGTTCTGATTGCTGTTCTCCTAGGGAACCTGCCAATTCAGTGGAGGTTGTAGGCCCCTGTGATAGCACATCCAGGAGCCCGGCACACAGTCCCCTGGCCCCACCAGCCAGCGCATTGCAGGGTGGTGCAGTGGTGTGCCGGGGGCTCGATGGGAACCTGCTTTATTTCGTATAGGGCCCCGCAAAGCCCAGAGAGGCTGGTGCAAACTTAGGCTAATCAAGAGAGCCAGCCACTGTACAACGGATCCTCTTCTCCCCGCACCTCCCTCCAACAGACTGAGAGCATCTCCTCCCCAGTGCTCTGAGAGCTCACAGCCGCCCCTGACCGCTGCTCTGTAGCCCCCATAGCTCCGTGTTGCTGTGGCTCCCACCCGTGCCAGCTCCTGCCCTGGGCTCTTGGTTTGGGGGTTATGGATGACAGTCTATGTTTCTTCACTGGGGTGCGTTTGGGTCATAAGACTGAGGGCCTAATCTGAACAGGCATTGAGCATGCATAGCCCACCTGGTCTCTGTGCTCAGCCCCTCCCAGCCTCAGGCACTCAGTTAGCCGTGTCCAAGCTCCTGCTCCGCGCACTGGCAAGGTGGTAGCGCCTCGCAGTTCTCACTGTGCATCTCTTGTTGCAGAGCCCCTGGGGATGAGGAGGCTCAGGTGGAGAACTTGATTGCCTCAAACGGTAAGGACCTTGTTCTCTTGCGGCGCGCACGCTGTGTTTTATTGAAAGATGGGCCCTGGCTGCTTGCCAGGCATGGAGCTGGGCAGGCGGCTGAGGCCGCTTGGTTGAACTTTTAAAGACGTTTTGCCATTTTCTTTGCAGCAACAGGGGCACAAAAAGCAGAGAACTGAGCTAGAGCCATCAGGTGAGCCACACCCAGTGTTTCGTATGTGCTGCTTCTCCGTGCCGGGCGGGGTTAATGGCCGCCGCGCGTGGGGCTGAGGTCAGAGCCTCGCTAGATGTTAGCAGGATAGTGTGGGGCGGGGGTGCGGTTTGTACAGAGCAGGGAGCACAGGACTCCAGCACAAATCGGGGGGTTACATGTTACTCGGTTGTGCTACGGTATCGGGTCCATTCCAGGATCCAGCCCCTGAGGCCTGTACTCAAACAAAGTCCCAGTGCGGCGCCTACAGAAAAACCCGAGGGCCCGATTCTGGTCTCCCGTGCATGTGTGTGAATCCACCGAAGGTGAGACTGATGGGCATGAGAGCCGAACCGGGCCCGACGTGGTGCTCAGGATCCGGCCCTGGGGCTGGGGTGCAGGCGTCCTGTTGTCACTCAGATCCGGTCTGCGGCGGAAGGGGGAGGTGGAAGGGAGGTGCACAGGCAGCCTCCCAAAGGGCTGATTTGCGGCAGTGTGATTTGTGAACGATAAAGCCACGCACGTGCAATCTCTCCGGAGTGCAGCGACACGTCGGATTGTCTGTGTAACCTGCCGTGGCTCTCCCCGCCTCTGCGCTGCCCGGGCAGGGCTGACACTTTACATTCCTCAAGCCGGAGCTCCCTGGTGTTCATGTCTCTGTCCCTTCCTGACCTTCGTCCTCAACACCATGCAAGCCGTAAGGCCACTGGGTACAGGGGGGCTTGCTAGTGGGTTTCCCTTCTCTAGGAGCTCTAATTTACTGATGATCCTCCTACTTTATAATCCACATTGTCTTTCTGGAGACTTTGAGTGTTCGCTGTACGCTCTGCATGCGGCTTGGTGGATCAGTTACGCTGCAGGCGGTGCTTTGCTACCAGGGAAAGGTGCTTTGTGCCTCTGGTAACGTGGGTGCTTAGAATTAATGGCTCCAGGGGCCATGTTGTTAAGATCTGTGGCCCTTCTGCTGGGGCTATTTATTTGGACGTTGAGTTCTAGTTGGTTAAGTTGGGATGGAACCTCAAATACCAGGATGGGTCTTGTGGGCTCTCTTAAGACATTACAAACCCTGCAAAACCAGGCACTTCTCCCGGTAACTTGACTTACATTTCCTTGCTTCTCCCTGCTGCGCATGCTGCTTGCTGCTCCGTCCATATTGCCTAGTGGTTCTATGTAGAGCTGGGTGAATTTGCGAAGCACAATTTATCGGATTCATTTCCCCTCTTTCTCGGCTCAGGGACTCCCCGCTCCCAGATGGAGTTTTCCTTGAATGTTTTTGTTGCAGTGATGGGTAGATTGCGAACCCCTGTCTGAGAGTGTTCACTATCCTGCTCTGCTGGGTAGTGGGAACGGGTTGGGCAGGTCAATGCCCTTGTGCCTGTTCTCGGATTGCATAAGTGCAGATGTGAAAAGGTGGCACCAAAATACAGGATTTTTAAAAAAGAAAAATGTAAATTTGGGTCCCAGAAGTGTCTGCTGGAGTGAACAAGCATGTGCTCTAGTTAATCTTTGCCAGACAAAGCAAGTGCAATCTGCAATGCTTGGCTTTTTCTTAGTGTCTCCTCTGCTTGCTTCCCTGATGAGGGGTTGAGTAGCAGGAGCCAGACTGACTCAGTGTCCTCCCTTCTCACAGATCAGAGACCTGAGGACAGACGCTTGGACCACAAATGCAAGCGACCTGCAAGAAAGCGAGAATGACAGCAACAGGTCCTCCTAAGGAGACGCAAAGAAGCTGTGTCTGTGTTACCCTCTGTACTTTAATACTGGTTCTCTATATAACAACCTAACTAAACTCCACGCGCGGTACTGTCTGCCTACAGTAATGTGTAATGTTAATGTATAACGACCATCGCCATTAAGGCTAGCTGTTGACGATGTTGTATTAGTAAGTTTCTCTTCATTTTTCTAGTGCTGTTGAGTGGTGCGTGGCTGTGTGAGAATGACAGGATGTGCTTCCCGTGGCACTTTGCTCGGCACCATATTGGGGGCGTGGTTCCTTGTCCTTTCTGTGGGGAGGGGGAGGTTTTTGGGTGGCTGCCTCTCAGACCTGGGAGCATGGATCATACGCCACACTGCAAACTAAGGAAGGGATTGTCCCAGCTGAGTCCTGGGACGAGCTGAGTCCTGCTCTTCAGTGTTTGTAAAGCACCGTGTGCATTTATGGTGGGCTATAGATAGCTAATAACAATAGTGTTTATTGGATCTCTTGACTCCGAAAGCAAGAGCCTGGTGGTGCATGGAGCCAAGTCTGCTTCGTGCTCCGATCCTGGCACAGCACTCGGGTTTTAGCCACCCAGAACCCTAGGGATTTAAAGGGTTGGCCAGCATGCTGCTTCTGGCTCTGCCCCCAAACACCAGCTGTTGGAGGCGCCCAGAGGAATCAGACACTGTAGGGAGGAGCTTTTCCTTGTGTGGCTCTTGCACTGGGGCTGGGAGGGGGGTGTTATTTTCACATCTGGGCTGATTGTGTTTTATTCTCTTGGTGGGGCAGGAAATCTGTTAGAACAGGAGATGGGTCCAAACCAACCCCCCGGCTCCAGACTCTGCGTGTTTGACGAGGGGAGGGCGGATCTGAATCTGAAGTCACATCCAGATTTCTAAGCTGGCCAAACCCCGAGCCCAGGCCCAGATTCCCTCCTGGGCTTTGGGGAGTTTGAAATCTGAATCCTGGCTCCCGGCTCAGGATCTGCTGAACTGGGGGCAGCGCAGCACCTGCGGCTCTAGTGAGAAACCCACGGCCAGTGGCACCGGTTCAGCTAAAGCCTCGTCCCAGTTGTGGTAGCCAGCCCCTACAGCCCGTGCTTGTGCTGTGGATGGCTGGTGTGTGCGTGTGTGCAACACAAACGTTGCACGCTCAAAGCATTGCAAGCAGCAGGTTCTTATGATGCAGTGTTTTTTTTAGTTTAGACGGGGCTTCGGGGATCACTTCAGTTTTGTTTTGGTGAAATTGAATCTGCAGATAAAATACAACACAGTACGGCTGGAAGAGACCCTTGGGGAGCAGATTGCAGTTGCATTTTGCAGTACCAGCCATAACCATCATGCGCCCCTGGAGCACGGCCCCAAGGGCCCTTGCTGGTGAGGAGAAAGCAGAAAAGCCAATTGTTTTTAATTCTCAGACCGCACCTTCATGCCGGCTTAAACCAGGAGAGCTCTCTTTGCAGCATGTGGCTTGTCGCTGCAGCACCCTCCTCTCTGAGCTCGCAGCTAAAATCGCCTCCCCCCAGGAGACGTTCTTTTAAATGTGATCAAATGCTTTGGGGGAAGAGTCAGTGAAATGCCCCAGTCCAGTGACACTATGCAGGGAGTAACCCTGCTCCCCTCCTCCGTTCTGTGAGACTCTGCAGGGGTCGGGGAGGAGGTTAGACTGTCTCTGAGGACTAAACAGGTCTTGTCTCAGAAATTGTCTCTGTTAAAGGGCCAATTCTTATTTGTCTAAGCCAGCAAAGGGATCCAGGGAGCACTGCAGGAGATTAAACGCAGCAGTACTGTACCGTGAGTGGCCACATCTTTGTTAATTCCTTTGCCGTTCCCTGTGGTGGGGTACAGGGGGTTGAGTCCTTGGCATTAATATCATGTGTAATTCCATAGCAGCTAGACATTGTCAGTATCCACTTGCTGTACAACACCCTCCTCTGCCTCTGCAGGGAAAATAGAGCCCTGAATGGTGCTGGGTGACCCTCCAGGGCTCGGAGGGCAGCTCGGATAGGATGGAGGCTGCCCCCATGCAGGTGGGCGATGCACCACTTATTTCCTATGCTGCATTCAAGGTGCAACTAGGAGTTAAGTGTTGCCTGCCTCTGTGCTGGCCCAGGACACGGGGGGAATTTCCCCCCCAAAACTTCCCAAAGGCTGGTCACTTATCCAAACCTCTGAGCACCCAGGAGTATGGCCCAGTTCTACCTTTCCTGGTAACTTATGCATTACAAGGGGCAAACTCATGCGGTCAGGTTACCTCGTAAGATTCCCAGTACTTGCCAGGCAGATGCACAAACCCAATGTGAGATAAAATAAGGGGAAAGAAATAAAATTACATTCAAGGGGGATGAAAATTTCAGAACGTCTGTGTAGGTCCAGATCCATTCCAGGGAGATTTAGGGAGAGAAGGTCCAAATTTGATCCATCCCAGTTCTTCTGCCCTGGGCTCCAAGATGAGTGGGTAGGTGAGCAGAAGGAAGGTTTGTTTGGGATCCATGACTTCAGGACACAATATTTTGTTTTCCTCCAGTGGTGTGTGAGATGGGAAGCACCTCCTGTCCCGCAGTGTGAGGCAGAGTGAATGTGTGTTGTGTACCTCAGACCCTTATCTTTGTCCAACCTGTAGCAGGCAGTAATATGTTCTTTTTTTCTTGGTGGCATTCTACTGATCCAAACAGGCAAACAAGCAAAACCCCTCCCAGTCCGCCCCCTGAGTGTTAGCTGTACGTACACCATGAGTTCTATGTTCAGAGTGACTTCAGTGTCTGTAGTGTGCAGTCAGTATAAAAAAAAAAAAAAAGTTAATCGTATATGTAGAAAATGGCAAAATCTTGAATGTTGTAAAATAAAACCAACTGTTGTGTTTTCATTTTAAATCAGCAAACCTTGCTGCTGTGATAACGGACTGTTGTATTCTGTGTTGTGATCCAGAAACTAAGAGGGGGGGAAAGGAATAAAATATCATTTCTATCTTAGTGAGTCTCTAACTGTTTTGTACCATAATGCAGGGATTTCTAAGGGGAGGACCAAATCCTTTTTCCTGAATGGAAGCAAAGCACCAGACCCAGCTGGTAAGGGGTTTGGGGCATGGGGCGTCTTTTTGTTCTGTTTGCACTGTACCTAG